CCTTCCCTCCCTCCCTCCCTCCCTCCCTCCCTTCCGGGGACGTGGGAGGCAAGATGTTCAGGAGGTATGGACTGCTTGTCTTCAGGAGCACGGAAAGGAAGGAAGGAAGGAGGGAGGGAAGGAGGGGGGGAGGGGGAGAGGGAGGTCAACGGACCACTGTTGCCCCTCTAAACTCCTTCCCCTGCATTTTGAACCTCCCCCCTCCCTCTTGGCGCATGCTCCTCCGCCGTTTCTCCACGCCACGCCACCTTTCTTGCCACGTTTACCTACCGTATCCGTCCGACGGCTTCCCTTCCTCCATGGATGCAGGGTTTTCCGCCTTTCCCGATACACCCTCCCCCCGCGCAAAGATGAAGACACGGAACGGCCATAACCCCTGCCGCACCAGGTGACATGCAAAGCAGTGACGAAGGGCGTTAGAAATTTCGTTTGTCGTACCACTCAGTAGCATTCGTATGTCACCCCCTCTTTTTTTTCCCCCCTCTCCCTCCCTTTTCCTCTCCCTCTTCCCCCCCTCATTTTTTTCCCTTCCCCCCTAAAAACAGCATCGAATCTCTTTTCTTTCCCTCTTCCCCCCTCACCGCAATCATTACCCCGCTCGCATTATTGGCTACCGTCCTAGCCATTAAAGCACGGGACTGAGGGGAAATATATAGACTGATGCTACCAGCAAGCAGAAGGAGAGGCACAAGCGAACGTCGAAGGAAAAACCATGGCCCTGCATTGGATCTGTGCCGTGTCGCAGGGGCAGCCACAAACTGCCGCATGCTATGGTGCTACGTGAAAATTAAGAAAACGATAACGCTCATCAGTACGGAAACATGTGTCCTTTCGATCATAACCTGCCCAATTTCCGAAAAATGAAGGCGGGGATGAACGTGTCCGTCGCACAAGGCAACGGGGTGGGGAGGTTAACGTATTTCAATTCCATAGCTTGTTTGGGGGGATGCTCGAGGGGTTACGACATGTCAATCCATATGATGGATCCAATTTCTCGGCGGTCGGGGGAATTTGGTGCGGCCGGTGTGGATGTTTATCTCGTAAGGGTTTACAGAAGCGGAGGAGAAGGCCACTTTCACGGGCACATAAGCTATCTCCTCTGTCGGCAGTAGGAAAGAAAAATATTGTGGCTATAACTTAAAAAAAATAATCATGGAATTTAGTTCTTTTTTGCTCTCCGGAATGCTTCTTCGTCTTCTCTGGGGTTTGGGTATCGATGCTCCTCCTATCATTTATTTTCACCGTCCTCCCTCCGCTTCCACCGCGAGTTATCTTGCCAAAGGAGTGAAACATATCACACACCCGAAGCCAAGCACATTGACCGTACGTTTCTTCTTATCCGCTCTACTTATCGCTGTTGTTGTCTCTTTTTTTCTTCCGTCAAATCGAGTGGGCGGCATGCTCCATTTCCCAACGGTTCGTTCACACGTATAATCTCCACCTCGTCCCTCGTTATTGTCGCCATCGCCCCGCTCCCTTGATCCCTCCCTATATAATCACGCACTCTCCATCCTCTCTCACTCTACTCATCCGCTCCCCAAAAAGTTACCACACGAATTGCAGCCTTTCATGTACAGCACAGCACCCGTGGTTCGCCCTTCCTTCCCTTGGTGTGCCGGACCCTGTTTCTCCGCCCAAAATTGTTGAATATGAATTAGCATACACTATGGGGTGTTCATAGGGAGAGCAAAGCTCCATGACGCTCTTTCCCCCTCTCCCCTTTTGTTTTCCTAATGGTGTCAAAAATCCGCGTCTATTCCGTCCAGTGCGGTGCTACCAAGCCAAAATTGTTCTCGTGCCAGCCGCCCGAGCACTTCAATACTCCGCCCTCCTTTGCTCCTACTGGAACCTCGACGCTTCCCTCTCTCCCTCCCTCCCTCCCTCCCTCCCTCATTAATGTGGACTTGCTGGATGCCAAAAACCTA